GGCATCGAGATGTGTGCTCATCTTGGACGTCTAAAGGGAGTATGTTCCAACGAACTGGACGCCGTTCCCCGACAGATTGCGGTTTTCACACACCACTCCGCTGCGTTGCGGATGGGACTGGCTAGTCAAGGGCTTCGGCTTTGAATCCCCCAAGAAAATTCAGTTACTTCGCCCTTGACAACCTGGCAGTATTCTACCAAGAAACAAATCATGAAAATACCTCCTTTTTACAATAATTATTGTGCTATGATTAGTTTGGCACAACCTCTGGATACGGACGTGTGTCGGAGACATAAATAACACAAAGATCACCTAGATTGCTTTCGTAGCACTCTTGAAAGAGAGAGCATGTTTCGGGCGAAGATTTGATATATATATATATGTGTGGGTGTGAAATTTATGAACTTTATCACTCATCCCGCTGGACACTGGGCGATATCTTAGCTTTGTTCGGTTACAATGTTTACTCAAAAGAGCACTGCAGTTATAAAGATAACATTTCACAAAACCAGAATGACTGAGTATTTATATATGGATTCATTTATTCATTTTATTGCTTTTTCTCATGATAAATACGTCGAATGTGTCAACTATTACTTACAACGGAATATGGTGTAATAATGATCAATTGATGACTTGAAAACTGTTTTCGTTCCCTTTAGAATTTCTTTTCAGTACCACCATTTCCCACTCGGGCTTATACCGAGGACGTGTGCGTTAGGAGTGAAAAGGTTTCCCTAGCACACATAAAGGGAGATAAAAATGTAGAATATCATGTTTTTTTTATTCAATTTCATCTCCTTCCCCTACCTCAATAATTTGAACGCGTCCTGAAATTACACAGGAAACAAGAACTAAGTAACAGTTTCATTACCCCTAATAATCTTAGGGGAACAGCATATTTATAACGCAAATTTTTATACAGTTGCGTGATCCCGTTGTTTTAAATAATTTTGCATTCCGAGTGACACCTGTGACATATATATTGCAATTTGTGATTTCTTATTATCAGCTATCTTCCGTTCCTTCTCAATCTTAAAATGACTTCCCACTGTGAAATTAATAGCTTTGATCCACTTTTGTGTTCCATTCCGAAAGTCACTTTTATTATTGTAATGAATATCGGTGCTGGATAGACCTCGATGAAACTCAACCCTAAATGTGCCATTTAACGGGTGTTTCATTTTTCAGCATGTGCCAACAAATTGAAATGTGCAATAACGGAATGTAATTTTATGCATCAGGCAACTGTTTGTCCGGTTTACCGTCAATTCATACCGTCAATACAAATAAACTGGTAGAAATTACTGATTACAGTATGTCTTTTGCCGTATACATGCAAGATAGACATCTTTCTTTTTGTAGGATATTACAAGCTAATAGAAAAGCGTGAGTGAACCAACCCACGCGGCACGCTTCATCTAGTGGCTAACGAGCATTCTAATTATTTAGCTCATCATGAACATCGACAAGCTGGTCGTCATCACCATTACCACTTACGATATTTCCCTTTTAGCAAAACGATTCCCGTCTGGCGATTGTTTCTCTCTTCCTTTCTCCGTTTTGGAATAATAAAACTGACATACAAAGAGTCGTTTCAATCCTTTGTCGACACCCAGAAGGGTCCCACCCACATACCGTCCGCCATTCTTGTGATGTGGTGGAACGAATAAGTCCAACCCGAAATGACAATGTCCAGACTGACCACCACTTCGACCCACTGCCCAAACGCACGAACACAGACTGGTGGCTGTCTCCAACACTGTTAGCTTCATGTCCCAGTTTTCCGCTCCTCTGAATGTTGTTACTGCACAAGCTGGGTACGAGTTGATGAATACTGAGTCCACGGGTAGGAAGGCCACTTTGACTGACCCCCTTTCTGCGCAGATCCTCATCCACCAACCCAGATTGTATGAAAGCAGCACCAACGACGACAACAGAAATTCAAATAAATATAAAAATTATCTCACCTCTCATGCTCGCTCACTCACAGAGCTGACCAAGCAGAGTGCGCATCTAAGCAGATCCAGGGCGGCAAATAGCGTGTCTCACTGTTCGTCGAAATCGATGATGCTCGTCATCTTAGTCGGGAATGCCAAATACACGGTTGAAAAGAATAACAAATGTAACGCGTTCATATGTGAAGAGAGGGGGTGAACCCGAGGAGAGGATTTGATAAGGAAAGGACAGAAAGCAACAGAAAGCTGTCCGAGATCGACCATTGGCGAAGGGGGTGACACACACATGAAATGCATGCATAAAAAGGAAATAATTCACTCACGTGGGTTCAAGGACATTTGGCATTCACGTTTCTCAAAAAAAGGAATTGATTGAACAGTTTAATTGGATACTATTAAACATTTTCCACGTCAGTGCCAATTCGATGTTTCGTTGTTCAGGGTTTTTATGGAAATACGACAGAACCCGCTCGGTGGATTCAACTATTTGAGATCACTTTGAATCACAGCGTTTTTGTGTTTTGTTTCATCGAAATCAACATAACGGATAATATGCATAACCATTTGAATCGCAGGATTCGATTTCCATATCGAATACCTGAACACCAATGAATGTTTAGATGAACATTCCATTAACGGAGTGCATTGTGGAGCACAATTTGGCCAAAATGAGCCGAATGCAACAATTGTAAAATCTTTCTCGGTATAAGTCAGGTAATGCGCAAAGCAAAATCACCTGTAACGCGCTTGTGATAGCCCAATCTACAGAACAAAATCATTCGCATGATTCATTTCATACGTATAGGCCCCTAAATTAAAGGAATAATCCACTTGATAAACTGGGGTCTGGTTATCTGTACTGGCTATCTGAAGTTGATGCTTCTAGGGGTTTCGTTTTCTTTCGGTCCTCTATGCTCTCACCGCTATATAACAACGTAATTTCAGAAGTTGACATAGTGGCCATTTAGTTCCACTATCCTATGGGAAAGGTCCACCATATTTCATTACACATCATGCACTGTATTACAAATGATAATGAAACTAATCCTGCAGAGTTATTCCCGGGTAACGTAAAACATATTTGATCTCTTGCAATCAAAATCATCTTCGGTAACTGTCGGCTAAATTTTTTAATTTTTTACTTCTGTGCGTCATTCGCAGCTTCTTTGAATCTTGAATACGTCTTGTACAGCAAACACTTTTGAAAATTGTTTCACTTTATATTTTGGAGCTCTTTCCCTTTGAAATTAAACCTAACGTCCCGGATAGTTTCCAGATCTAACCAAAGGTTCTCCTGATAATATTCTACTACTTCTACTATTTTGCGGCACGTGAATATGTTTCAATTATCTTCCGGTAACACCAAATGACGACAAACACCTGACTTGGCGGCTAGTATTATTCACCAAACAACGGCTACGATCCATCAATTTGTAAAAACCGAACGTTGGACTTTAATATTCCTAATATAGTGATAACTCGACCTGATTTCTGGTGTGTTCTATTTTGCAATACTGTACGATAACCATCTTATGTTTTTGGTCCAAAATACAGTGAATAGCGAATAAAAAAGTTAACGTGATCGTGGTCAATAATGCCAAGGAATTCTAACCTTCGATATGTGAAATTCCAATAACCTTGTTAGGATTCGAACGCTAGCATAGTCATTGACCATAGTTTTGTATGACATACCATTTGAGGGGGTGGCTAAATCGGAAATTATTAGAATTATTTGCATAGCTCAGTTGCTCAGATGTTACACGTTAATTCAAACAACGATACTATGTTCACATGTGTAGGTTCCAATGCCAATTAGGCTTTTTGTATTTTCACGATTCGAATAGGAATCCATGTCACTTGACCATACACCAAAACAACATTGGATTTCATCAATAGGTATGAACATGGGATCTTCCGCTCAAAGAGCTTTGCTCTTGTTCGAGCAAATGAATACTATCCGTGATTTAAACTTCAAACTCTTATCACTGATAGCATGTATGTCATCATAGTGCCATTAGATTCCGCGCTGTGGCGGGATAGAACTAGCGACTGATATTTTTAGACGTGGCATTCAGTGAAAATCAGTCATTTCAATTTAGTCTCCAATTGGTCTGGCCAATCGCTTGACCTCAAGGTGTATTTACAATGACCTACAAGCCCAAGCACACATAATTATATATATCACAGTGGAACATTTTGAGCATCAATTGCAAATACACAACTAGCTTGGATAAACGACAAGTGAGGCTTTGCTGTACAGAAACTCTCTTCTGTGGTGTCAGGTAGTCCATCATGGGTAACCTCTCTCGTTAGACAACTAACAAATATGAATTACTGGAAGCGAAGGACTGATATCGCCAACTTTGTTTACAACCATATTTTGCAAACAGGCAGTTCCAGAGTCATTTGCATCCGTTCATGACCGATAAAAGACACTTTCTAATCCACACATGCACATGCAAAGGTCGCAAATCCTTTACAAAGTGCGCAGTACCTGATCACGTTTCGGGAAAATGCGTCAAACATTTAGCCAAGTTTGACCAATCAGAACACAGTGTATCTGTGCGTAACCTAGTGGCACCAAACATGATTGGACGAACGAAATCAGCGATAACCAATCACAGCAGTGATCGTGTTTGTAGTATCCGCCCCGCTGTACAGGCCGTAATCAGCGTGACAGCTGGCAAAGCAAACAAGGGCACACACGTCAGGCACAACTTATTTTCCCATCCGGGACACACTGTGCCNGCCTTCATCTTCTTCTGTTGCGATGTTGTTGATGGTCCTGCCATCGAGAATGTGCGAATTCGTCCACAAGCTTTTTGTCTGCCGCGAGCAATTTCATCCGGTTGGAAAATACCCTACTGTGCTATGCAATTACGTTTGAGTGCAACTATTACATAGACAATAATACGTTTGTATAGGTTGGGCCCGTCTTTTGTTAAAGAAAATCTGTCCTCACCGCTCCGAAATTTGGAGAGGAGAGACTGTTTGTACATATGCGACAACATTCCTTGGACGTACGCCTGTTTTTCTGTTTACATGCCTTCAGTTCGTTCCCAGTTAGTCCGTCTGGTTAATCATGGGCTCCAAATGGTTCTCTTTGGCGCAGTTCTGGTGGGCATCTTTATTCCCACAATCCCCAGTTGGTTGCCCTGTTTCCTTGGAGATACCGGAGTTGCTGCTTTGCAATTCTCCGACTCACTTCGTCCCACACCGGCCCTGCTTGCCAAATCCATGCCAATCACTTACACCGTGGACGAGAACACACCAAATTTGACCATTCTCGGTCGACTTGTGGATTCCATACGACCCCGACCGAGCCCAGATTGGCGATACACGATCCCACAGAATCCGTATTTCGATCTGTTATCAGACAGCTCATTAAGGGTGATCGGTGCACTAGATCGCGATGAGAACCGACAATTGTGCACCGAGCCTGGTTATCCACAGCAGTGTGTATGGACTAGTTTTGCTGTGACCGGAAGTGGACAGTATATTGGATTACGCGTTGTTATCAACGATTTGAATGACAACGTACCATCATGGGCTGAACAAACAATCACCATTCATGTGACCGAGGAATTGCATGACACATTCACAGCCGAACTACCAGTGGCCAAAGATCCCGATTTAGATAAAAATGGAATACAGGGATACAAACTACAAACCGAATTAGATGACGCGGAACGATTCGAACTGATTGTCAAATCCAGCACAATCAAGTCTGGAGCGAAATTGCCCAGTGGTGAGACTGGTGAGACCGCAATGTCTTCCAGGTTTAAGTTATTTTTACAAGTGCTCAAACCGTTGGATCGTGAGACTCAGCCGCGGCATAATTTAACCTTGCTTGCATTTGATGGCAGTGAACCGTATCATACCGGACGATTGAATATTATTGTGGAAGTAAGTGACGAGAACGATCATAGCCCGCAATTTACCAGTCTGGCTTATACAGCGATAGTGTCTGAGGACGCTGGTGTGGGTAGTGTGATTGCTTTGCAGGAATCTACGTATGACACGATTCGACAATCCGATGCTTCTGGTTTGACCCCATCTGGCTATTTGGAAGCAGGTAGTCAGTTGATGGCCACCGATCGAGATGTTGGCCCGAACGGACAAATTCACTACGAATTTGCTGCATCCACAGATCCACAAGTTTTGGAATTGTTCACTTTGGATTCCAACAGTGGCCTAATTCGAGTAGCAAAACCCCTGAGTTATGATATTCGCCCGACTGGATGGAAATTCCAAGTACTGGCCAAAGACGGGGGACGTCCAGCAAGATCTAGTTCCGCCACAATACTCATCCAGTTAAAAGATGCTAACACCCACGGTCCCGATATTAAGACACGATTACATCAACCTAAACTGTATAATCAGTTGATCGAACAACGTGGTCTGCCACGAACACCGATCGACCAACTGGGTAATGTGATCTACATTCCGGAAAACACTGCACCTGTTCAGGAACCTCTGGCTGTGTTCACTGTGGGTGACAAGGATACGGGAGCCGGGGGTGAATTTGATTGTTCCCTGACCGATTCCGAACATCAGGCCAGTTCGACTGGCGCCGATCGGTCAGTTGACTTTCGATTGAATTTCACCGCCAATCTACCCAATTGGAATGTGTACAGCCTGTATGTGGTCCGGTCCATTGATCGTGAAGTGGCTCCCGTACGGGAATTGGTTGTGACTTGTACAGACCACGGTCAACCGCCCCGGAGCAGTTACGAGAAACTTAATGTGATCCTTGTCGACGAGAATGACAACTCACCCAAATTCAGCCAGAGTAAATATCAGCTGCATGTAAGTCAGTCCACATGTTCTCTTCAGTGAAAATGAACAAAGGGTTGTCGTTTGGTATCCTTTGTTAACTTCTGTCAAAACAAGGTGTTTGTTCACTCAGACCTAGGCTGATTTGTTGTAACGTGAACAGGATGCAGATGAATGTAACAAGATCATATCCACGTTAACCCAAATTGTGGAATGTTTACCGTTACGGGTCTTACTTTAGTACCTTTTTTTAAACCGTCATACGTGATGTTTTAGAGCAATCTGGTTCAGAAGAATGAAACTGGTGATCTAACGATGCAGCGTGTTTATTATAAAACTATTTTGACGAATAATACGTTTTGCAAGAATGCCATTGGCAATAGCAATAGAAAGAGTAATCCTCGGGAAGAGGTTTCGAACGATTACAAACACTGAAACCGGTGCACGCAGCCCTTATGATTAACTGGTGCCTCAAAGTGTCCTGCTAACAAACCTGTATCTTGTCACAGTTCTTTTTTTCATAATAAACTTGGTCTAAATGTAAGATGAGTGATTTGGCGATATAGATCACCTTCTTTTTGCGGCCTAATTTCACTTGGATTGTACCAAACACGAGAAGTGTTACTTCTGCTATGCTTTTTTGCCGAGACACTCTACCGGCATAGGACCTGCCAAGAAGTTCAATTTCTATTGATAAAACTTAGTTGTTTTTTTTAAGTATGTCATGTGATAGTTTCTAGGAATATGAGGAACAAACAGAGGATTATTCGTCTATTTCAGTAAAACTCTTCTCTCTCGATAGAGGGAATTGATTTAGGAAAAAAATAATCACTTTACGACTGTGAGCATTGAAATTTTATTCATGCAAGTAAGGCACACTAGTAGTCAAATAAACTGCAAGGAAAAATCCTGCCATCCTGAGTGAAGCAGGAGCGAAACTTCAATGAACTTGTACTTACATATTGCACGAACTTTGTGATCAAACTTAGGCCTGCGTTCTACATCTCATAAAATTATCATTAAACACAACACCGAGGATGGAACCCTCAATAACCCAGTCAGGGTGGATGACAAGAATGCTTCACTTTGCCGGTAGTCTGTGTAGCATAAAACATTTTCATGCATCACATGTGAAGAATAAATACCTAATAAATTGCCATTTATTTTAGTGAAATCACAGAACTTAGTTATTCAGTTTTTTTAATGAGTGGAGGTCAAAATTGTGGTGAGCGTGCTTGTTAGTCAAAATCGGCTATGTTCAAAGCTATCGGTTTGGTAAAGCGGTCCGGATACCCAAATTTGAGCTTCTCTATTCAGCAAACAATGTAGAAGAATAACAGCAACAACAACAGCCTTGGTAAAACACAAGTATACAGTATTATGAAATCCATAACGCTCAACAGACTCTCTGTTTACCCTATCAATACATCAACTTTATTACTATTGTCATAACGCGCTTGAAATCATTGATCGAGTAAACAGTCTTCAGTATGGTTTTCTCTAACAGTCGTGCAAGCCTAGAATGCGTAATTTTCCAGCATCTGTTCTTCTCGTGATTGCTTCGAAATGTAAAAAATGATTTTAAATCTATTCAGCAACCAATCCCATGGAATATCTCATGAGCGGCTACGAAATTCCCGAGGAATACATTTCAAGATAATCCCAGTTAAATTATGACAAAGTAAGCGTACAGCCGGATTCTCTGCTCGACGCACTGTCAATGTTGGTCGATGCAAAAATCGAACACTATCGAAAAGTTCACATGATTTTACAGACGTTTACAGACGACCTGTTCGCTCTCCCGAATCGTCTTCTTTTTCTTCATTGTTCGGGACATTTGTGTTTTCAGATGTGTAAGCATGCAGCTAAAATGTAGTTTGCTCGAGCTGTAGATTCGATTTTATGTGGCTGAGTACAAACTGAGGCAATACACGGGTAAATCAACTTCCTCTTCCCCGTATAAAAAAACGGGCAAAGGAATGTCGTATCCGTTCTGCGGAGGAGAATTTTACGATCGTGCACAAGAGGGTGAACTGGACAACATAATCACCGCCTATGAGCTTTTTCTCACCCCCTGTCTCTCTTCTCTCACTCTCACCCAAGTGTGTTAGTATGTACACGTTTTGGATGCCGTTCGAAACCTTTGCCTCTTCTCGAGTGGCAAGCTCGAATGACACGTTTTGTCATGCCTGGTGTGAAGAATGAAACCTAAAACGAGCGTACTAATGCGGTGGCGAACGCAATCGGAAAATTACGAAATCACTAGAATAAACTTGTAGACACTAAGGAAGAAATCTGTTTTCTTGATCATAAGAACAATTTTGTAATGAGCCATTAGTGGATTGGCCCTTAAAAGTCTTACCGGATGTTTGCGCTTGGATGCATAGTTCTGAAGTCTCAGACAGAAGTTCGAACATCATTTGATGCTCAGAATTGCTTGCTTTAATGGCTTATTTTTCACGGCACAAAATTTGTTTGGGATTATTCAGCAAGTGACATTCAAATAGCTCGAATCGTAAGGTTCTATGGAACAACTGGCAGGTCATCTAGAGGAATTGGCTGACCTGATTCCAAACAAACCAATAAGAGGCGCGCGAACCACACACCTTCCTGGCCATGACTATGGTCATAGGCTCGATGAAGCATCGAGGTGTAATGGGTACCTCCGACATTTGACCCCGTCCAAGAGGTGTATGAACCAATGAACTGAGCACCGGCCACCAATGGATTGGGATTTTCACACACCGCCCCCTTACCTTACGGANTAGCCGGATGCATCGGTTGGGAATTCCTTAAGAAAATTCACCTGCCTTGGCCTGGGCAATCTATCAGTATCACACCATCAAGCAAACCATGGACTTTTTATCTTTCTCTAAAGATTTGATTTGTTTGGCAAACAGTGTAAACTCAGACGTAAAGGAATATATATATATATATTGTTTCCATGCCTGGTGGGAACATTGATCTCAGTAATGAACGGATCCTAGATTCGTGTCTCTTTTTAACCTGGAAAATTCAACTGGAGATTACAGTTTCAGATGATCAAAGCATTGAAAAAAGTATAGAACTTATTTAGGTGTCCCGTTTATGTTGGCCATCAGTTTTGAAATAGTGTAGTACGAATAACTTTGCGTTGCAAAACAATTGACTATCGGATCCACCACAGAGCTATTTGTTATCCTTTCTTGAATTCATTCACCTTGCATTGGAAGCGTTTGCAAAAATGATCACGTGAACATTTCCAGGGTTTCAGAAACCGTATTGCGAGCACCGGACAGTGGTCGTCAGTGACCAGAATGCGGCATGTGTTACAGAAAACTGATAAATGCTGTTTGATAGAGAACTTGGGTGACTGCACGGAAGAGCAACAGGTCCGCGTGGCTCAAAAGTAAAGAAAGGCAAATAGGGCATCGACAATATGAAACTAAGATGCCTGCATTGTGTTTGTAAGCCATGTTTGTATTGAAATGTCAGAGATATTTTTGGCCGAGGATTTGTTGCCTTACAACCGATGCACCAGCAACCGTTGTCTAAATACAGAAGTCGTAATTGTTCTGCCAATAGAAGCAACAATTAAAGTGGATACTATCACAGATGTGCCACTTCTGATTAGGGTAAAATCGTATACGTACCTCTTGAATGAGGCTCAAAACACCAAACATTGCGGGGAGATCAAATATGACAAGATCCAGTGAGTCACACGAGTTCGATCAATACATGTTTTTGACCCTGAAATGAATGTCTTCAAATACCTACTGGCCATATGGGAATAACGGTAGCAGCTGTAGAATCGAATCAGTTTTATGCCAATGCTCACCAAGGCATATGAAAAGTTTTACACAATTACTCACATTTGATCAACAAAATGAAAGGGATTGTACGGCAACCATTCCCCAAGGAATCCTCATCAAAATACACAACACGACCAAAAATATATCAGTGAGAATCCGATAAATGAATATTTTAGGGTGAAAAATTCGCAGTGGATCTCGGTTTGACTGCTGAAATCCAAGTCTCATTAATTTTGCTCGGAAAAATAGGAAAATTCGACTCAGTTTCCTCCAGAAAATAAATATTTCAAGTTCCAGTTGGAGTCATCCAGAGACACGTGTAGCCAAAGTCTGATTGCATAAATTTATTGTCTCACATGGAATTGAATTCCCATCCAGATGAAACCAAAGAGAGCGGTTGCATCGGTGGACAAGAGTTACACCTAGTGACCCAACCCCCTCCTTTAAGTGGAATTTATAAGAGTATTCATTTACCGAATCACCTAAACCGATATCCGACAAAAATTGCTTTCATCCGGTCCTTTGAATGCGCAGTTCACTATGGAAGAAACGTAGGTAAACGATAAGCATCACTTTTCCGTATTCACAGAGTACTCTTCATTTATTCTCCCTATCAAGCCAATTACGCGTCCCTGAAGGTTTGGCATTTAAAATTTGCAACCCGCTTTTTGTTGACCTGCAACTAAACAAGGAACAATCACTGATACCCCCCTTAGCTAATAACTTCTTCAGCATTTTCCGGATGTTTGAACTCCTGCATTCCTAATTCACTTCATCGGTTGTATTGTTTAATTCAAATTTTCCAGAAGTATTCGTGTGAACACATCCGTTCGCCTCGCATACTCGATCGTCGTATCCCGTGCACTCTTTGTCGAACTAATGTGTGTATTAAGTCTAAAATGAAAAGCATCCCAGAATCACAAGATGTACAGAATGCACTAGTTGTTTACGTTTTTATTTTGTATGTTCTAAAATTGTTACGGTCGGATAGTTTATGGGTTATTTTACTTTGAATGCATGCAGTGAAAGATGAATTCAGCCCATTGTCACACATTAAAACGATTCACTCAATACATGAGCTGTCACTTTCGTCATAATGCAAATCTTTCTCCTGAGCAGCCCATGTATCAACCTGCTTTGAAACAGAGGACCTCAAAATATCCGACGAGTCCATAAAACACGTAATAATATTATCAAATGTTTTATAGATATGATAGTATATTTATTATTTTATTGACGTGGTTATAAAGCATTGGAATAATCTTATTTGGC